CCGTATGACCCTCATAAAAGTCAACAATGCGTCCTGTGGGATGCAGGAATTTTGGCGTCAAGTCTTGAGTAATCCACCCCTTGATTACTTCTTCTGCAGTAGTTGCTAAATGGGCTCTTGTAACACTAGACTCTCCCTCGATTTCAAATGGAACGCTCCAAATCGTCATTCGTATGTGCGTCGCCATTTACACTAATCACAAAAAATGTACTATGTAGATGCTTTGTGTTTATACCCTTTCGACGTGTTAGCTTGTTTCTGTTTGGCTCTAAACTTCTAACAGTCCTCAACATTTAAACACGGCGACAGTGCCAAGGCAGGCCGATCTCCGTTGTTTCTTTGGCGGCAGACCGTCCAGCCCGTCTACTAGTTTTCCCATTGAAGCTTCACCAGCTACGTCCAGTGAAAAGCCCCACGTTTTACCAAAGAAGGATCGTTCTTTCAACGACTGGTGGCTAAATCGTTTTAAATGGCTTTGTTACATATCAGATCGAAATGTTATGAAATGTGAAGTTTGTGTGAGAGCGAAAACCAAAAACCCTTTCACTGACGGATGTTCAAATTTTCGAAAATCAACTCTCATCCGGCATCAAGACTCTAGAAGTCACATAAATAGTGTCCGTGTGTTGTCCACGAAGTCAGACTTTACGGCCGCTCGTCAGGCAGCAAACAAGAGAAAATATCAAGGTGACAATCTGAAATCATACACAGCTCAGCTGCGAACTGTTTATGTTATGGCTAAACGGGATCTACCTTGCGATGATTTTACCGATTTCATGCATGTTCAGAATTTGTTGTATGAATAAAGACCTGGATAAAACTTAGTAAATTAGATGTTTTTTCATACGGGTACTCCTTCATTGAACTCAAATCTTCTCATTAACTCTCCATTGTATTGTTTTCCCTATTTAACAGATATCAATTTCTTGATTTGTGTATGACCCTCAAATTTGCAATTATGACCCCCAAATTCTCAGACAAGGTGTCCCAATGACCCCCACATCGAAAAAATGATGTAAAACCCTGCAAGGTAAGGGTCTGGCAATACATTTTAAAGAAGTTAACCAGGGTAAGGGTCAGGCCAATACATTTGAAGAAGTTAATCAAGGTAAGGGTCAGGTCAATACATTTAAAGGAGTTAACCAAGGTAAGGGTCAGGCCAATACATTTTGAGCACAATTAGAAGTGCATAAGCTACCATAAACAAAAATCACCGATGAAACAATTGCAATCACGCTTGGTTGCGTGGAAAAAGAAGGGACGCCATTCCTCGGACATGGTTTTACAAACATCATGAGATGATCAGGAAGAAACAGTGAATTAAATCAGAATAACTAAGAAGTAGGATGAATGTAGAAACTTAGTGAAGATAACATCAAACCACCGCAAAATGGCCATGTGGTTACAGGAGTGACCCAACGTGACCTGACCTGTCATATGGCACGTCCCAAAGTTTCTAATACCGATGAGATACCGACTATTTTCACACTTTCACTCAATGAAATATTCGAAACATACTTAAAGCCATAAAATGTTGCTGTCATCAATGTTTGCTGTTAGATAATTGATTGCCTTGTGGGGCTAAATATCTTTCATTTGAGCAACTGTAAAATCAGTCAGTGTGAGTGTGAGTGTGAGTGTGAGTGTGAGTGTGAGTGTGAGTGTGAGTGGGCTAATGTACTACTAATGATCCACTGTGACTGAGATACAGTAACTAGTGATCATCCTTTCATGCTATACATTTTCGTTGTTTTCCAAAACTGACCAAATAAAAAAAAATATCTTACAAAAATAAAAAAGTTGACTATACAGGTAAATGCAGTTAATTAATAACAACGAAAAAAAACATTACTGTGAAATACTTTATTTTTGCTTGAAATAAATTTTCGATATTTTTGCTGAAGGAATGATTTAGTGAAAATAAAATCCAGCGAATATACCTTTTTTTCTATATTTTACATTCAACTCATCAAAAAACAGTGAAAATAAATTCCATACAAAACATCCCAAAAATCTTTTCAGCGAAAATTAATTCCAGCTAAAATAAAGT